CCTCACTCCCCTGATCTGTAGGCTGTCTCTGGCCCCCATCCCTCACTCCCCTGATCTGTAGACTGTCTCTGCCCCCCCATCCCTCACTCCCCTGATCTGTAGGCTGTCTCTGGCTGCATGTGTTGCTCCCCTGCGGTTTCAATCAGCAGAGAGAAGCAGGGATAAGATGCAGCTTCCTATCCCTGTCTCTCTCCATACACAGCGCCACCTACTGGCAGGCGCCGGTATTGCAGTTCATTTTCAATTACACGAAAAATAGCAGAACAAGCTGAAAAATCCAGGGGGGGGGGGCAAGTTCCCCCCCTTGCCCCCCCCCTGCGGACGCCCATGAGTATGCCATGCATAGCAATCCCCAGTGTGATTATAACAGCTCCCTCCAATAACAAGACAAGAAAAACTGTTTAAACCTTTATTTCCCTTGGGACCAGCCCATAGGGTCACAACATTGCTGTGAAAACGCAATAAAATCACAAACAGTCAAACCATAGCAAGCAACACACAGTGACTTATCACAACACAATGGCACAACTGCAGGGCCAGATTGGAAATTAAAAGCAGCCCTGGAAAAAAATTATTTACCAGCCCCATAGTGTGTAGATACAGAGTTAGAAAAGATAACTTAAAATTAAAAATTATAGGCTTCAAAATAAACAAAAGTGCAGCTTTATTTTAAATCCTAGGCATTTGTTCCGTTTTGAACGTGACGTCACTTCCAGGAAAAAAACGGTGTGTAAGGAAACACGAGAGCAGCAGCAGTAGAAGCCTAGCTACCCAACCAGATTATCATTATCGCGGCAGTACAGTGAGTTTGAACTACACCCTCGGGGCTGCACCTATGGAACTTTAGCCACTCAAGTCAAGTTTATGTTCTGCATTTTAAAAGGGTACGTGCACATTTAAATTATGTTTCTTATGACAATTCAATACGTACTCACGTTACAACACCTTAACAGTGTCTTGGATATACGTGGGACTTAAAAAATGTTAAACTATTTCGGCAGATTCTTCACAATTACTAATGTCACGATATATAACGTTGTGACGGTCTAAATAGGTATCACCGTCTAGTATTCCCTTATCCCAATAAAATAATATCGCCAATAATCCACAGAGTAAAATATCGCTGCTATCGCAGAATAATCCACACATGAGCCAAAGCTAAATGCTGGAACAAGACTGGTTTAATGGAAGCAATGGCATTCAATCAGGGCCGTCTTTAATAACGAATGGACCCTGGGCAAGTGTTTGCTTGGGCCCCCTGTGCCCTGCCGCTCTCGCCCCTCACTCCCTGGTATGCAATCACGGCATCCATCCCAACGCAGTGGCGGTACTAAAGTAGAATGAATTTTATTGGGACCCCAATTGCAAGGTTGGACTAAAGGTAGAACCCCATCTGTCGTGCAACTCCAACAATGCTTTGACAGCTGGGACTCTACCAATTTCCCATGCTTGCAGGGTTGTATTTAGCATTGAGCCATGTTAGTATGTTTGAATGTAAGCATGTGTTTGTATGGAGTATGTTTGTGTGAATGTGTTTGTATGTGGTACTGGAGTTTGAATGCAAGTGTGTATTTATGTGTAGTGTTTGTTTTTGAATGTAGGAGTGTGCTTGTATGTAGTGTTGACGTTTCAATGCAGGAGTGTGTTTTTTATGTAGTGTTGAAGTTTGAATGGAGGGGTGTATTTGTATTTAAAGTTGCGGCTCAGATGCACAGGTACACACTCTGACGCACAAGCAGATACACAGATACATACACTGACTACATACAGATAAACAGGCACATACATTGACAGACACACTGACACAGGTACATATATTGACACACACACAGACACATACACTGGTAGACGTACTGACAGACATACTGACACAGGCACATATACAGACATACTGACACACAGACACATATACTGACATACTGACACACACACACAGACACATACACTGATCAACATACTGACACACATACACTGACAGAAATACTGACACCCACACACTGACAGATATACTGACACCCACACACTGACAGATATACTGACACCCACATACACTGAGAAATACTGACACACACACACAGGCACATACACTGACACACACACACAGACATACTGGCACACAGACAGATATACTGACACATGCATACACATGCACTAACAGACATAATGACGCACTGACAGACATACTGACACATACACATACTGACACACACAGATATACACACACATATATACTGACACACAGACAGACATACTGACACACACACACAGACATACTGACACACACACATGCTGACACACACACACATACACTAACACACACATACACTAACACACACATACACTAACACACATACACTAACACACACACTAACACACATAAACACACACACACATACACTAACACACACATACACTAACACACACACTAACACACATACACTAACACACACAAACACACACATACACTAACACACACATACACTAACACACTAACACACACATACACTAACACACACACACACTAACACACACATACACACACAAACAAACACTAACACACACATACACACAAACACACATTTTTAAAAAAAAATGTAATCCCCCCAGCCTCCTTACCTTTTGGAGTGCTGGGGGGATTCCCTGGGGTCCAGTGGTGCTGCTGACACCAGGCGGGCGGCCGGTCGGGCAGGCGGGCGCGCGAGGGAGCACTCAGTGCTTCCTCTTCAGCTCCCTCGCGCGCCGTGTAGGGATGCTGGCGCCGGAAGATGACGTCATCTTCCGGCTCCGGCATCAGTGCGGTGCGCGAGGGAGCTGAAGGGGAAGCACTGAGTGCTCCCTCGCGCGCCCGCCTTCCTGCCCGACCGGCCACCCGCCCGCCAGGGTCAGCGGGGCCCACGGGGCAGGTGCCTCGGGCCCCCCAAGAGAAACTGGGCCCGGGGCAGCTGCCCCGTTTCCCCCGCGTTAAAGACGGCCCTGCATTCAATTCAATAACAGATTCCTCCTCTGACCCAGCGAGATAATTGAGTTTTAGCAACATACTAAACCAGGGCCGTCTATAATATGATTAGGACCCTGGGCAATGCATTTTCTTGGGCCCCCTGGGCCCTGCTCCTTCCCCCTCAACCCCCTAATTACACCCAACCCGCAATCACACTGACAGACATACTGACACATACGCACACAGACAGACATATTAAAACATTCTCAGATACATACTGACAGACATATTGACACACATTCAGACATACTGACACACACACAGACAAACATTCATGAATACACAGACACATAAACTGACAAATATACTGACACACACAGACGCATACACTGACAGACCTATTGACACACACACACACAGGCATTCTGACACACACACACAGACATACACATACATACACACACACATAGAGACATACACACACACAGACATACTGACATACACACACACACAGACAGACATAGACACACAGAGACATACTGACACTCACAGACATACATACACACATACTGACACACACACACAGACATACTGACATGCACACAGACAGACATAGACACACACACAGACATACATTTAGCCACCCTCCAGTTTCTTACCTTTTTCTGGAGGGTGGTTTCCCTGGTCCAGTGGCAGGCTGAGGCAGATGGGAGTTCTCCTCTGGAACTCCCCTCCTCCCTGCCTTTCTCCTCCCGCGCGGTTGTGATCTCCGGTGGGAGGAAGTGACGCGCGGCACTCACTTCCTCCCAGCCGGCTGCCAAAAAGGAAGGGGCCCGGTCACGCTGTTTAAGTGTCACAGCGCCCGACCGGGCCCCTGCTGACACATGCCCACCGGGTGGCCCTTAGTGCATGGGTCACCCGGGGGCCTCCTTACAGTGCGGCTGGTGTGGCTCTGTGCAGCCGCCCCGCCAGGTCCATGGGAGCTGCTCAAATCGTGGGGCCCACGAGGCAGCTGCTCTGGGGCCCCTCAGGAGCAACTGGGCCCAGGGCAGCTGCCCCGTTTTCCCCGCGTTAAAGACGGCCCTGTACTAAACTCAATTATCTGCTGGCCAGAAAAGTTAACAACTTTCAAAATGTTAGAAATATATTGTAACGGCACCCCGGGCGTTTAGAAGATCTTCCCCTTCCAGAGACACATAGAAACATAGAATGTGACGGCAGATAAGAACCATTCGGCCCATCTAGTCTGCCCAATTTTCTAAATACTTTCATTAGTCCCTAGTCTTATCTTATAGTTAGGATGGCCTTATGCCTATCCCACGCATGCTTAAACTCCTTTACTGTGTTAACCTCTACCACTTCAGCTGGAAGGCTATTCCGTGCATCCACTACCCTCTCAGTAAAGTAATACTTCCTGATATTATTTTTAAACCTTTGTCCCTCTAATTTAAGACTATGTCCTCTTGTTGTGGTAGTTTTCTTCTTTTAAATATAGTCTCCTCCTTTACTGTGTTGATTCCCTTTATGTATTTAAATGTTTCTATCATATCCCCCCTGTCCCGTCTTTCCTCCAAGCTATACATGTTAAGATCCTTTAACCTTTCCTGGTAAGTTTTATCCCGCAATCCATGAACCAGTTTAGTAGCCCTTCTCTGAACCCTCTCTAAAGGTATCAATATCCTTCTGAAGATACGGTCTCCAGTACTGTGTACAATACTCCAAGTGAGGTCTCACCAGTGTTCTGTACAATGGCATGAGCACTTCCCTCGTTCTACTGCTAATACCTCTCCCTATACAACCAAGCATTCTGCTAGCATTTCCTGCTGCTCTATTACATTGTCTGCCTACCTTTTAAGTCATCAGAAATAATCACCCCTAAATCCCTTTCCTCATATGTTGAGGTTAGGACTCTATCAAATATTCTGTACTCTGCCCTTGGGTTTTTACGTCCAAGATGCATTATCTTGCACTTATCCACATTAAATGTCAGTTGCCACAATTCTGACCATTTTCCTAGTTTACCTAAATCATTTGTCATTTGGCTTATCCCTCCTGGAACATCAACCCTGTTACATATCTTGGTATCATCAGCAAAAAGACATACCTTACCATCAAGACCTTCTGCAATATCACTAATAAAAATATTAAAGAGAATGGGTCCAAGTACAGATCCCTGAGGTACCCCACTGGTGACAAGTCCAAGCTTCGAATATATTCCATTAACTACAACACAGGCAGCTACTGTAGACACCAATCCACCGAACCGGAGAAGCATATGAATGCTCTCAAACATACGAATACTGTAAACAGCCGAATAGGAAAAACCATACGAATAGGTTTACACTCCAGGCAGTCGAACTGGAACAGCATACAATAAATCCCCCCAAGAACGAGACAAGGCTCCGTTTTGAGGGTCAAGCAGGAACAGACAGAGCTGTGGGTTTATTGTTCTTATATACACATTAGTACCACCCACAGGGTTTTGGAAACCAACCAATAAACACATACAATACACTCAGATACTCCCACACAAAATCCTCCCCTCTGCCTGTGATACAATTACCTTACACAATGGGTAATGTAATTATCACCGGCAGAGAAATACAGTTTTTCCACATTATTCATAACCAAAGGAAGCATGGCTTTTCTGCCCAAAACCAGTTCCACAGAGTCTTCTATCCTGGAGATAATTGGGAAGTAATCCAATTATCTCCAAGGACAGAGGCAAAACTCCATTAAGCACATGGCAGTAAAAAGACAGTAAAATACAATAAAATACACAAGGTTACATTTATTACATAAAATACAGACATGCAACATATGCCCAGATAGCTTAGGTCTGAGCGCACATTATTACTGAATGGCGCTCAGAGCACACACATACAGTTCAATTGCCATGGAGCCAAAGTCTTTCCCATTTTCCCATTATACGAATGGGCTCCATGGCATAGCTATCTGGGGTATCACTGCTCAAACAGGGCAAGCACCAAATGACCCGGCTTTCTTGTCTTTGCAGGGGAAAATCAATCCTTTTAACATGGGGCCATAATCCAAAGGCAACAGGCGAGCAACCAGGCTTCTCCAATGCAATGTGGCGAGATTGCTCTCGTCACAATCGTTTTTTTTGGAATGATCTCAATAGGTTCCTTGTGAAATACCACTGTGGGTCACATTAGCAATCATTTCACTGTGAGCCATGTCTCTCCTTTAGAGATGGTTCTTGGAGGTAGTCCTCACAATCACAGAACTTGTATAGTGTGCAGTCCAATTCAGTTCAGGTGCTTCCTACTTGTTAACATAATTCCAATGCAGTTTTAAAACGACAGCTAGGGTTGATGTTATGATAATGCTGCAGATTGTAAGGAGGAGACACCATAACCAATTTTCTATCATCCTTTTGCTTCCATCTTTGCATTTCTTTCTTACTGTATAAGATAATTCAGGTTCAGTCTGTTTTCTCCAGAGTCTTTCTTATAATGATGTTGATGATTCATTTTTCATACATTCCATGTTAACTGTGAATGTATCACGTCTGTCTGTTCATCCTTCTCATTTGCAGGTTCAGATGTCAGATCATGATTCAGTCTGTTACGTGGCTATGATTCTGGTGGCATTTCTGTCGTCCTCTGTTTGATTTATCTTGTCATCTTTAACAGCATCCATTGTATCAGTCAGTGTTTCTGTGAACGTCTTGGAAGCAGGGCCGTCTTTAACGCGGGGCAAACGGGGCAGCTGCCCCGGGCCCTGTCCCTGCTGGGGGGCCCGAGGTAACTGCCCTGTTTGCCCTCTGCCCGCAAACTATGGGGGCCCATCGGGTGGCCCATGCACTTAGGGCCACCCCGTGGGCCTGTGTCAGCAGGGGCCCGGTCGGGCGCTGTGGCGCTTTAACAGCGCGACCGGGCCCTTGCTTTTCGGCAGCAGTGGGAGGAAGTGACAGCCGTGCGTCACTTCCTCCCACAGAAACTCGAGCCGCGCGGGAGGAAGGCGGACCAGCTGTTCCGGAGGGGGCAAGGCCGGGAGAGCTTAACTCCCAGCCACCCCAGCCAGCCCACTGGACCCCAGAGAAGCCACCCTCCAGGACAAGGTAAGAAACTGGAGGGTGGTTATCAAAGTCTGTCAGTGTATCTGTATGTCTGGATGTGTGTTTGTCTGTCAGTGTCTGTGTGGTTCAGTATGTCTGTATGTGTGTATGTCTGTCAGTGTGTCAGTACGTCTGTGTGTGAGTCTGTCAGTGTCTGTGGTTCAGTGTGTATGTGTGTTTCAGTATGGCTGTCTGTGTATGTCAAAATGTCTGGATGTGTGTTTGTCAGTGTCTGTGGGTATGTGTGTTTCAGCATGTCTGTGTGCCAGAATGTCTGTCTCTGTGCCAGTATGTCTGTCAGTGTGCCAGTATGTCTGTCAGTATGTCTGTGTGTGAGTCTGTCAGTGTCTGTGGTTCAGTGTGTATGTGTGTTTCAGTATGGCTGTCTGTGTATGTCAAAATGTCTGGATGTTTGTTTGTCAGTGTCTGTGTGGTTCAGTATGTCTGTATGTGTGTATGTCTGTCAGTGTGTCAGTATGTCTGTGTGTGAGTCTATCAGTGTCAGTGTGTTCAGTGTGTTCAGTGTGTATGTGTGTTTCAGTATGGCTGTCTGTGTATGTCAAAATGTCTGGATGTGTGTTTGTCTGTCAGTGTCTGTGGGTATGTGTGTTTCAGCATGTCTGTCTGTCTGTATGTGTGTTTCAGCATGTCTGTCTGTATGTGTGTATGTGTGTTTCAGCATGTCTGTCTGTCTGTGTGCCAGAATGTCTGTCTGTGTGCCAGTATGTCTGTCAGTGTGTCAGTATGTCTGTGTGAGTCTGTCAGTGTCTGTGTGTTTCAGTATGGCTGTCTGTGAGTTTCAAAATGTCTGTATGTGTGTATATCTGTCAGTGTCTGTGTCTGTGTGTTTCAGTCTGTCTGTGTGTGTGTGCCAGAATGTGTGTATGTCTGTCAGTATGTCTATGTGTGAGTCTGTCAGTGTGGTTCTGTATGTCTGTGTTTGTCAATATGTCTGTCAATGTCTGTGTGTTTCAGTATGTCCGTCTGTCTGTGTGTATATGTGCCAGTACGTCTGTCAGTGTATCTGTATGTCTGTGTGTGTGAGAGTCCATCAGTGTCTGTGTGGTTCAGTATGTCTTTGTGTATGTGTGTTTCAGTATGGTTTTCTGTGTGTGAGTGTGTGTCAGTACGTCTGTCAGAATGTGTCTCTGTATCTGTATGTTGTCCATTTGTATTTGTGTGTGTATCTGTATGTGTCAGTGTTTGTATCTGTATATCTGCATGTGTGTCAGGTTGTGTATCTGTGTGTCTGTCTGTCAGTGTGTGTGTCGGTGTATCTATAAGTAGTCAGTGTGTGTACCTTTGTATCTGCATGTATGTCAGTGTTTGTATCTGTGTGTGTGTCTATGTGTGTGTCAGTGTATCTATATGTAGTCTGTGTGTATCTGTATGTTCTTGTGTGTTTCTATATGTGGTCAGTGTGTATCTGCATGTGTGTCAGGTAGTGTATTTGTGTGTATCTAGACGTAGTCAGGGGGCCCAAGTAAATGCTCGCCCAGGGTCCAATCTAAATTAAAGACGGCCCTGCTTGGAAGTATTTAGCAGGTTGTAAAATATCAAAACTTACTGTTCTCTGTTGGGTCTGATTGTTTTCTGTAGTAAAAGTTCTCAGAGTCACCCTCTCCAGGACAAACTGGCCAACAGTAGGAAATAGGTGGTGGTGCAAGGCGAGGTGGGCTGGAAAAAGAATTCCCTAAATTTCTCTAATAGAACCAATGGTTCTAAGCTCTCCCTGGTGCAGAAATATGTTTGTCAGTGAAAAACATGTAACATTTCATATGGTGTCTCACCATTTGTATCATCAGGTATGTTGTGAATGCTCATCTGTACCATAGGAATAAATAGATACCACTGTGTGGGGCAAGCAACTAGTAACTTGGTTAATAGTCATTTAACCTCAGCATTTTCCCAGACCACAACCCCACTTCTTTGGGTGTGGTTGGGGCACTGAAATCCCAAAGTAACCCAAATGTGGTTGCCCAGTTTTAGGTTTCCTTTGCAGTAACTGCAGGACCACCATCCAAATGGTAATGGTAAAAGTACACCTATTTATACCTTAGGTGTCTCCATTTTGGGGTTACCGTAGTTCATATATGAAAAAGTAACACTTCTTTTACTTTATTCAATTTAGGACCTCCCTTAACTTGGCAAACATACAAGGCCATAACTAAAGGGTGTATACGTCATGGGAATTTTCCTGACTTAATTCAAGATGGCATCTTAAAGTCTGAATAGCTTATCTGTTGTTTATACTAAGACGTAAGTGCACAGTCGTGGGAGATTCCCGGATTTGGGGAAGTTCCATTAACTTGGGGTTACCACAGTATATTGTGTACTGCAAGAGTCGTAGCATAGCCTTGAAACTTGTTTATGCATTATTGTTATTGTAATTTGTCTGGGACAAAATGGCGCAAACATATTATGCACTGAGGTTATTGCTTAAAGAAACAGTTATGAAAAACAATATGTTCCATTTCTAACACCTTGTCAGTTTGCTGCAATATCTCTTAAAGACAAAGTACACAGTTTAAGAAATACAATATTTCATTCTAAAACTTGTAATATTTGCATTTGCCCATAACAGTAGCAACTCCGGACCCTCAGTTTCAAGACCTCATATTGAATTAGGCCAACTCCTAGCGCACGGTAGAATGCTGTCACAAAGAGCTTTGTCAGAGAACACCAAGCGAACATACAAACGGGCTCTTGATATTTTTGTAAAATTTACTAGGGAATTCCAGGTGGTAGACATGTTCGCAATGGAATCTTTGGTGGCGCTCGCTTCCTTTTGCCACCTCAATTTACATTTGTCTTACAATACAATTAAACTTTACCTCACAGGGGCGGACGTATGACGTGATGACGTTGACGTCGTGAGGCGGGATCAGGAAAAGTCAGCGAGTGAGGGGTAGACAACGCGGCTAGAACGCGGCTCGAGTGAGACGACTAAGCGACGACCCACACATGGGGCTCTAAAAGTCTGCCGGGCTGCTGCTTAAAACGGCTAAATAATAAGCAGTGGAGATCGAGGACAAGGAGGGGGGAGAAGCCGGGAGAGAGACCTGGGACCAGCGTTTAAGATAAGTGTGACAAAGGGAGGAGGAAAGAGGAGGAAAGAGGAGGAAAGTCGCTCAGAGAATCATACTACCAAAGGGATCAACAAAATGAAGGTACAATGTGTGAAACTGATTTAAGAGGGGGGCCTTTGAAAGACTAAAGACTAAAGCACTAAAGCGGCTGAAGGATTAAAGTGATTACCAGCAACTATGCAATGAACAGCAATGAATATTTAGCCGTGTTAAAGATTTAAAATTTGAAAAAAAAAAAAAGTATAAAAAAAAAAAGAGAAAAGAAAATGGATATAAAATAAAATTATTTATC